GAAATAGCATCATTAGTTGCCAAGCTACTTGAAGATGTTCACTCCGCCGAAGAAACGGATAAAATTTTTTCCACTTTGTGGGATTTTGGCGGGCAATCAGTTTATTACTCGACGCACCCACTTTTTCTAACAAGAAGAGCAATTTACCTATTGGTTTATAACCTTAGCCGAAATCCAGAAGCGAAATCTGTGTCCCGAGAGAGGCGAGGACTATTCAAGTTTATCAAAGACGTCTTCTGTGAAAAGAGTAATAAGAACTATCTCGACTTTTGGATGTCCTCGGTTTCTAGTTTGGTTCCAGACAGTGAGAAGTCTCACCAAACTTCTTCAACTTCCACGCAACCAAACTTGCTGCTGCCCCCAGTTTTCCTCGTCTTTACTCACGCTGACAAGCCTTACAAAGATGAAGATCCCGAAGAGCTTGCAAGTGAGATTGTTGGCCGTTTAGAGGAAAAAAGTTATGGTGATCAAATTCTCACTTTCTTTGTTGTACATAATACCAAGTCTGGAGGAAAGAAAGAGTGTCCTGAAGTCATGCGTCTAAGACAAGAAGTGCTTGATATTACAAAGAAGCTACCCCAAGTGAAAGAGGTTATTCCAATCAAATGGTTGATGTTTGAAAAGGCTGTTAGAGAGAATGTTGAGCATGGTAGCAATTGGATTTCCCTCGAAGAAGCGAAAAGAATTGCCCTGGAGTTATGCAGAATTTTCAATGAAAGACAATTCCTAACCATGTTGAACCTCCTGCACGACCAGAGAACTTTGATTCATTTTGATGACACCCCAGAGTTAAACGAAATCGTTGTTTTGGATCCACAGTGGTTAATAGACGTATTCAAGAAGGTAATTACTTTTCCGCCTTTCAAAGAAAGCAAAAGGGAACATAAAAAGATGTGGAAAAGGCTTGAGAAGACGGGGATTTTAGAAGAAAAGCTTTTACATCACGTGTGGGACCCCCTTATTGGCACACGGGAAACCTTTAAAAGTCTTATCAACATGATGGAGAAGTTTGGCCTGTTATGCCCTTGGCCCTCGTCTAATGAGAATGAATCTCCCAATCAATATCTTGTACCCTCCATGTTGATGTCCCCACCAACGAAAGTCACAGATTTGTTTTCATCTGCGGGTATTCCATCCCTTTTTGTGAGATTTAAATCTGATCAAGTACCAATAGGACTCTTTCCTCGCCTAGTACTGATGGTCATGCAATGGTGCACAAAGGAAGGTTACAACCAAGAACACCCTCAACTGCATCACAATTTTTTCAGGTTTTACACTCACCCAGCAAAAGCCATCTCTCTTGTCCTTCTCAGCCTTTCCTCTTCCATTGAGGTTGTAGTTCACCGAGGGAAAAGGAAATCCGAGGTTTCCAAGAATGAAGGGATTAATATGCCATCTGTATTCAGCCCCGACACTTTTCTGAAAGAGTTTGCTCGTACTGTGTGCCGACACTTGGGATTAATTCTTGAATGCATGCGGAAGGAGTTTCATTGTAGGCCATATTCATTTCATTAAAGAATATGGCCTACGAGATATCAGTTTGCTGTCCGATCTGCTGCACACAAAAGGTGGTGGAACATTGCGAAAACCATTGCGGAAGTACGTGCAAGGAAGAGGAGTGCATTCACTTCTGGTCGGAGTCACAGTTGCAAAATTGTCAAAGGCCACTCATATGCACCAGGTATCCAGCCACTGGAGATTATAGGATTCCACTCGAGCGCTTCGCAACATGGTTTCCATTATTGGATAAACAGGTAAGTTGCAGTCTGTATGAGTGTTCTAAAAAAGTTACTTATTTCCATATCAATTATGTGCTTATTTTATTGAATGCATCCAGATAGTGATTTCAATGTAAAATGCTCATGCTTTTTTGTCAATGTTATACAAGTGGAACTTTTATTTTGTTCTCTGGTGATCCCATCGTGGTGAGGGAAGTTGGGAAGGGTTCTGTTAAACTTGAAGAATAAGACTGTGCGCACACGCAGCCCCAGAATGAGAGAAAAACAATACAATAACTACGAAAAACGAAAACCAAATAACAAGAAAACTGTTATTACTCAACAGGGAGTCACTAGTGAGGGCAATGAGGAAGCCGCATTAACTTGTACGGAAGGTAAATGGAGATCTGTTTGTAGATTATGTAGTTAGTAATTTGAATATATCAACAAAGTTGAAATGGTAAATTGGCCACCGTTACGATTATAAAAGCTGACGTTTCGAGTGTTAGCCCTTCGTCGGAGCGAATAGAGTAGTTAGCAGTTTTCCAGGCGTCATCGTTCTAAGCTATTTAAATTATTTTATCTGGTAAATGTTATCACAAATGTCGATCTTGAGCCGTCTTAATTAATAATAATAATAATGATGATATTTAAACTGGAAACTCTCTCGCCCTTAGGTGATCTACAGAGAGGTCCTGATCCAAAATAACATTAAATTGTTAAAAGTAAGTACACAAATTGCAGATATTAAAAAAGTACAAAAGTAATCTATGGATTAAAAGATTGGAGGTTTGCAATGCGTTCAGCCCTCGGATTGAGATGTAGGAGTAAATTCACCATTTTTAAGGTGAATTGGAAAATGATAAATTTAATCTTGAAGTGCTCACAACGTCATAACACGAGAGACAATATATGAAAGTCATATTTCAACAGCGTTAAGGCCACCGCAATTAAGGCGTGAACGGGACTGCTTAACCGCTCATTTTGTTTGTGCACTGTCTCGGTTTCGAACGGTCAGTTATGGGTTTAAATTCTGTTGAATCCTGCTCTTTTTTCAGACTTCATTTTCACAACTAGCAATGTTGCGTATTTTATGTGAATGAGATGATTTTTCTTAATACTATATTAAAAGCTTCACTTACCTGTACGTTGTTCATATTTTAACCAAGCTCGTAAGAGACCTAAACAGTGAGGATATCTAAAAATATTTGAAATGAGGCCTTTACGTCATCAAAATTTTTAGGGGAAGGCGAACAAGCCCTTGACCTTTCCGATGAGCTGGTTCAGGCCCTTCAATTGCGGATATGCGATGCAGACGGTGTTATTGCTCTTTTTCAACAAGGTTTATCATTGGACCTATCATTCTCATAGCAGCCAGATCCAGAGACAAAGCGTCTGATTCGCTGCCTTTGTTCCAAAGCCCAATCTACAGGGAGACATGATGTTGTCAAGAGGTTACGAGAGATTGCACCTGCTGGTACAACATGTAGGGTGTAGGGTGTCTGTAATGCAGACAATGAGAGTAGCCCGTACTCCTTTCCTTGAAGAACCTTGTCAGACTTATTAATGAAGTATAATTTGATATGCTTCATTCGAAGACTAAGGTCAAAATGTGCCACTATCCTAATTTAAATCCACTTAAATCCACCTAGAAAAAACGGTGCTGAGCACAGCTAATGACAAGGGCTTCACAATTTTGGACTGTGGCAGCAGTTCTAAGTTCAAGTCTTCATGTAACTTGAGAATAACCAAATACGGCCGCTCCGCTTGTTTATTTCTTTACAGTGACCTCGATTGGCATAACTTGTTTCAATCCAGCGTGTTTTTGTACTTACTTTTTAGGTCCTTTGTTGCCTGAGACGTGTGACGTTCTAAATATTCCCACTTATCAGAGAGAGAATTTGACAATTCACTTGTGTGGTGAGTACTTGTTGTAACATTTAAAAGTTATCCTTCTAAATCACTGCCACCATACTCTGTTTGAAGAAGTGTCATAACTCAAATTTTGTCAGAATTTGTCAAATTCTACTCTGCATTTCAGGTGGAAATGAATGGAAGTTCTTGGCGGAGCGACTGGGCTTGAGTCTGGCAGAGATCCGTTTCCTTGACAACCGACTTGTAAACCCTTGTGACGCCGCGTTGGCTCATGCTCGAAAACAAGGTTTTTTACGCAGTGTGGGAGAACTATACGATACGCTTGTAGAATGCAACTTCCCAATGTGGGCCGATTTATTGTAAAGATAAACGAATAATAATTGCTAATTCGAAACGACCATCTGCCATCGTTGAAACTTGCCATTGTTTCGTTAATTCAAAGGACCGTCGATTTTAGAACGAAAAAGACAGCACGGTGAGAAAGCCTTTTTAGATAAGCATCTATCTGTTTAGAGATCTAACTATGTGGTTAACAAATCCTTTTTGGTCTCACTGGGGAAACGTTTCACTCGCATGAGGTAGCAAGAAGCGATACAGGATTACCTAAGTGAGCACTTTCTTATACTTCCTCCAGACGAACGCGTTTTCCGTCCTCACTCTCTTTTGAATCGTTCTTGGCAGTTTCATGTTCAACTTTTTTCAATCAAAGTTGAAGAAAAAATATGCTGCGTGTGCTACAAAGGAGAGTGACTTAATCTTGCGCTGAGCCAAAGACAATATTAGGGACCTTAAGCAGTCAGGACGGCAACACCAAGGAATACGACGATTAAATAATGAATTTCTATTTTTAATCAGGATTTGGAAAAGGGCTGCATGTGTTTATTGTCTCATGCGGCGCCACATGTCAACTTTAGCATAACGCATAGAAGTAGCGTTGACTGAGTTCGAAATGGAAATTAAAGTAATTTGCCGTCGCGGTTTCCGTTTGCAGACGACGCTAATTTTGGTGGTTTCACCTTGTTGTCCTGCAAAGGACGACTTCAAAATGTACAAAGTTTTAAAACGCACGTGCTGAGCTATTGTTCTGCCCATTAGGTCTTTTGTTTTTCCACGCCGTCGTGGTTTACCTAAGGTCACTCTTGTGACCACCTAGCGTCAGCAGTTTTGAGAATATTGCCTGTTTTCAAAACAAGTTACTATACTTTACCTGAGTTTTCAAAACACTCTCCCTGCAGAAAGAGAAAATACTTTTTCTATGTAGACGCTGGTAAACTTGACCATGAAAAAAAAAGCATCTCCACACGTATCTGAAATAGTATGGGATTTAATAATGAAGTCCATGTATCATTTGTAGCGATCAAAAATATCAATTGAAATTGCTTTCTCGGTTCAAGATGATAATCATCGTATGATAAATAGTTTATTTATTCAGTGCTTTTCTTCTTTGAAACGTTCTTCATTCATTATTGAGTCATTTAAGGATAATGTTTTTAACATTTTTGACTTTTATTTACTTCGCCTGCTTGACTTCTTTTATAGTATGGAGTACAGCCCCAAAGCAAATTACGCAGACGCATCCCATCACAACGAATAACCACGTGGTCATGTTTGTCAATCCATAATCTGGAAAACAATTAACAGTATAGGCAAGATTTTGATACGGTTGTATATTTCAGTCTATTTTTTAAGTCTGAAGTACATAAAAATAATCACGATGTCTTTTCCAATATTAGTAACCATGAATCCAAATTTTTTTAGTCTGAAGTACATAAAAATAATCCCGATGTCTTCTCCAATATTAGTAAACATGAATCCAAATTTCAACCTTTGTAATTTAAGAGATTCCAAGTGGCTTTACTCTTGGCAAACCTGGACAATCCCACATCAGAAGGACCACTAGGCCTTTCAGCAGTGTTCGGGCCCGGACCCGCAGTGGGAGGATATCACGCCCCCCAGTGAGACTGGACTTGAGAAGAGACCACGCTACTAAGGACATTTTTGTTGTGTTAGTTATAATGGGATATAGGAACATGTGCTTTTCGCTTGAAGTTAGCAGTCTTTTCGTTGGATTAAAAGGAGTGATTTAAACGGTTGTCGAAAGTTGAAGTTATTTAGTAGTCTGAACAAAACAAGCAGACTTTACCTCTTACCCTCTGTCCCACCAGGTATACCTGAACAAACCTCTGTTACATTGGTCATAGTAATGTTATGTAATTGGTTGATTTACCAATTACCCATAGTGTTTGTTAGGACTTGTCTAAGAATAAAGCGTGTTGCTTCATACCATGTGTTCTTGTTTTAAGAATTAGTACCTGCTTTGAGATGGTATACCTGGAAAAACCACACCTGATGGACCGGTACGCCTATAAGCTAACTTTACCTTTTACCTTCTTTATCACTAGCGTTACTCGTACCTTGATTTTCTCGAAGTTCCTCCGCATTATCTGCTTCAAAATTGTCCTCAGGATCCCTTAGAATTACTATCGGACCTTTCTCCAGATCGTAATAATCTGTATTGACCTCCCTCCTCAGTTTAGTATTCACATGAGGCTCACATTTCTGCATGCAGCTGGGCTTGTCATCTGTCAGGTTGCATAGGACGACCTCACAGTGAATATAAACGTACGGCATGACCTGGCCATTCATGAACTGAAAAGCTTCTATGCTAAAACGTTGCGTGGTGGGAGGGCCATTGTGAAATCTTACGGTTTCGTCCTTTTGACACCTTAAGTTAACAAAAAAAAAAAAAATAGCAGAACAAAACTTAAACTCATAATAACAGCTCACAAGGATAACTAGACAAAAGATCCTGCATGGTCATGAAGCTCCCAACCTAAACTGCTGTATAGTTTTCTTCTTTGATTTTAACAGTTTTCATTGGTATTCTCCTCACAAACGATGGTAGTACTGTATCATTCTGAGTGAGGGCCCTTTAAGTGTTACTCCCTAGCCTTCATTTATGTACGATGCAAACTTGATTTTCCAAAGTCACAAAGTGGTTTCAAAAGTAAATTTGTTATATACGAAAACGGTACTATCGAAACTTTTTGCACACCCCCCTCCCTCCCTCCCTTCCGGCACTACTATAAGTTACCTTGCCCAAAGAGAAGGGGAGACAAGTATAACCCTGAGGGCAGAAAGAGCAATCATAAACTAACAATACAGTTTTCTGTCCCCCCCATCATCCCTGGAAACTAAATACCCTCTGTCCCAACAAGCTATGGTAATCAGCTTAATGAACCTTTGGAATTCTTACGTATCAAATTGTTCCGCGATCTATCGTTAAATTGGCTATATGGGCAACAGCAATTATTAATACTGACCTGTCGACAATGATATCATACTTGATTTTCTTAGAAATACTATTGATTGGCGTGGCATAGCACGTGTCCGCGACGATACCCAACCGCGTGTCAGGCGTGTCCACTGATACTTGTAAGTAAAGTCGTTGTTGCAGCGTAACCGCCAGTGGAAAGCTAATGTACTCTTCATCATAGTCTTCGCTCTGCATTGTAAAACAAAGTACGTAAAAAAGCACTCATCGGAGGTGTTATTCAGCAAGAGACGAGATCAAGGTTACAGTGAAGAGACTGCACTGTAACGATGGAGATGGAGGATAAGGGACCAGTAATTCGTTATCCCCAGGGGGGTGGGGGTCGAATAATTTGGGGGATCACATGGTTTTCAAGGGGAACGGAGCAGGGATCAGTCGTCGCCAACAAAGCATAAAGGAGAGAGTATGGAACATTGACGGTCGATGAGGAGCGATCTTTGGAATACCACAGAGCCTTAGGGGAGGATCAGATAAATTTAATTGTGACACAGGCAAACTCCTCCAAACACAAAAAGATACGTTAGTCGCATTGATATTAGCTTTGCGTTTTCGCGCCTATTCTACTATCTGCGAAGAGAAGTCGAGAATGAAAGCTCATACACTCTGATATATCACTAACAACCTTCACACCGCATAATCTTCCTTGTCCTTTTTCAGTGAAACAAACGTCTGTACTCTAGTCTGGTGGCCCACCCAGCCGGAGCTTGGCCCGATTTCCTTGGCATGAAGCGACAGGGAGTATTACTACTCCCCCC